CAATTGATCGCTACCTCCCTCAGCCACCGCACCGCTTTCTCCCTCCGCCACATGCAGTAGGAAGCCTGTCGTCTGTGCGGCAGTGCCCCAGATGGAGAGGTGCATTGTAGCACATCAGCAGACTTGTCACCTGTGGGGACTGCTTAGCCTGGCTACCGTCTACTTCCAGAGCCTTCTGCAGGCACATCCTGCTGTGGGAGGTGCTCAATGAGGACCCACTCCTGCACTCCCTCTCGGTACCCGGCCTCCAAGAAGGAAGTGCTGCAGGGCTCAGGTTAGGCTGGTACTGAGGGAAGGGGGTGTCTGGGACCTAGGAGGGTAAAGGCTGGTATGGGGGCCTATGGCTGGGGGGATTCTGCATTGCTGTATAATGTATTGCTGGGATTTGTAGTCCTCTATAGCTGGTGGTATTCTGCATTGCTGTATAATATATTGCTGGGATTTGTAGTCCTCTATAGCTGGTGGTATTCTGCATTGCTGTATAAGGTATTGCTGGGATTTGTAGTCCTCTATAGCTGGTGGTATTCTGCATTGCTGTATAAACATTATACAGCAATGCAGAATCACACCACCAGCTATAGAGGACTGCAAATACCAGCAAAGAACCCAGCAAGGCAAAGGCACCAGCCCAAAACAGGATGCTAATGAAATCACTTACAATGGATGCTGCTCCTTGTTTTTTAAAAGTTTTAGCTTCCTGCAGAATCAGCCGGTCCCCTGAGCACTGGTCCTGATATCCTGTTTTAGGGGGGCTCCTTTCCCTTGCAGGGTCCTATGGAGCCACCCTTGTGTGCGCTAGTAAGCTATAGTACGAGTGCTTCTACAAACACACAGGAACAGCAAAGCAAGACACTCCACTCCTGCCTGCTCCCAACTCCTCCCTACTCCCCATGACCATGCCACTGAATGGACGGCTGCTGGAGACTGTGATCAGGCCCGGATTTCCCACCAGGCCACCGAGGCCTTATAAAAAATAAACAATAATAAGATGAAAACTATAAAAAAGGAAAATATAAAAAAGTAAAAAGATAAATAAAAATCTAAAAAAATTAAATTGATTATAAAATTAAATTAAAAAAAATAAATAAGAAGAAATAATTGAATAAAAAAATAAAGTGATAAAAATAAATGGCGCGCGGGGGGGGGTGTATTTTGGAACCTGGCCTTGGGGCTGCAGGGGGAGTAAATCCGGGCCTGACTGTGATGCTCCCTTGTGATTTTGCCCTTAGCAGGAAGTTCATGGAATCCGAGCTGAGAGAGTTGGGGGTCAGCTGTTTGGAAACATGATGACTGTAAGTGCTCCGGGCAAAACATACTTTGCTGGGTGATGTATATTTGATTGATCTGGATTCATTATTGATAAAAAAAAGTGTGAGAGTTTAATACTGATTTAGGATTTGAAAGCTGGAAGCTGATTGGTTATCATGCAGAACCGCCCCCCCCCGGATCCAGTCTGCTCCATTCTTAGTAAATTCCCCTTCAATCTATTTAAATTTTGTAATGGTGCATATCAGTCAAAACTGGACTTGTAACCTTTGCAATGCAGACCGACCTTTCTAGGGCCGGGTATTGCTGCGGTGTGTCATTTAACCTCGCTCCCCTCTACCCGGTGATCCGGGAACCCCTTTTCCTAAATTAGTGCCTTAGTTAGAACTCGATCACGGCAACATTTCAGATTTACACCCACCGTAGAAGCCGGAATGTGATTCGTCATACAGGACTCAGGGGAAGGTTTAGCACGGGAGCAGTGTTTGCTGGATATCATACACTCACCTCACTGGCTGCGTTCCCTCGCCGCCCCGAATTTTAGAGATGAATGCAATGGAGGGAATTTATCAAAGTTGGAGCAGACAAAATCTGGAGCAGCTGTGCATGGCGACCAATCAGCTTCTCTCTTCAGTTTGTTCAGTTTAGATTTGAAAATGAAAGGGAGAAGCTGATTGGCTGAAGGCCTTTAAACGCACATGAACTTTAATGGCATCCCGGTCTTAGTCCGTAGGGTTCAGTATTGGGTTGGCTCCGCCCCCTTTGCCCTATATTTAGTGGCCAGGAAATGTCACGGACGGACTTATTGCACAGGTGACAACCTATCACGGTACCACGCTTGTAGTCACTGAGCTCCTGAGAGCGACCCGTTCTCTCACCGATGTCTGTAGAAGCGTCTGCATGCCGAGGTGCCTCATCCTATACACCGGGGGCCATGGAGGGGATTGGAACACCCGAATCCAATGATTTGGAGGGGCGTCCCAATACTTTTGGCAATGTAGTGTGTATATAAACCATATCTCACCCTAATAAAGTGCATGTTTATAAAAAAAATGGAATTGAAGATTTGGGTGGAGAAAATGAAAATAATAATCATAACAAAATCTAAAATTCTTACCTATATTCTTATATTATAACATTTATTCTGTATTTTAAATTAATGAGGGAAATATTGCATTCTGTTCAATGATAAATTGTGTAAAGAAATATAAAATAAGAGAAATACTGTTAAATCATATATGAAAATTAATTGTGTTCAGCAGTGAAGGAGTTTTCTAGACTTGTGATGGGAATGATGGCGATCATTGTCTCTTATTTTGCTGCTGCGACAGTTTATAATCTCTCACAGTAAATTCCCCGAGGACGGATCGCGGCTCACAGATAATTCTGCAGCTTCTCTGGAGAAATTACACAACGTGAGGAAACCATCGGGGAATTTGGTGAGGCTTATTCAAGTGTTGTGTGATGAAAGAAAAATATACACTAAATAACCAGAAGTTGGTGCAGACCATCACACCTACACTGAGTGGCCGGATTATTATATACACTGAGTGGCCTACATTTTACATTGTCATTAAAGTGGAACTTTACCCATATATTTGAAATAACAACAAACACACCTTTAGAACTGTTTAGTGATGACAATCTACAAACACAGATACTTCTAGATAATTGTTGTCTTTTTATTCCTTACCTATCTTATTTCTCTTTTCCTCCTCATTCTTCTCACAGCGGGCACTTTTACTAACTTTTACTAAGGACGGGTTCAGTGGCGGACCTAGGGAACAAATTGGACGCCGGTCCATCTCTGCCCCGGGGCTGTGTTACATTGGATACTGGGCCCCCCTTTAGGCTCAGGCCACGAGGCGGCCACACGGGCGGTAAGTCTGCCCCTGGGCAGCTTAATAGATCTCCCTTTACTTCCTGGAACTCTGGCACATGTGACTAGGGTATGTGACAATGCACATCATCACAGGGGAGGAAAATACCTTTCCCGGAGATCACGTGAGATTACAGATGAGATTTCCCAACAATGTTCTGCTGATGGAACCTTCCCAGGGTGCAACGCTTGGGCACAGATTATGTCACTAATGCCCAAGAGGACCAGGAAGTGGAAAAAAACAAAAATATGTTTGTTTAGCTGATGAACGTAAGATGATATCATATCAGCATGCAGAGCTGCATGCTGGGGGGATTTTTAGTGAAAGGGGGTAAAGGCCCGCTTTAATAAAGAGTTGACCCCCTTAGCCTCCTCCACTCTTCTGGGGAAGATTTGACACAAGATTTTGGAGGGTGTCTGTGGGAATTTTGCCCATGTGTGAGGTCAGGTCCCGATGTTGGAGGAGAAGACGTGGCTCACCATTGGCATTCCAGTTCATCCCAAAGGTGTTCAGTAGGGTTGAGGTCCGGGCTCTTTCACCAGTCGTTGACGTCGGGCACATCCCATGTTGCAGTGTTGGGCGCATTGAGGTGCCATAATTTCTTAATGGCACCCAAACACACATAGCCATCTCATGTGCGTTGTATTGCACCACATGGCATGGTAACCTATTTCAGTGCGGTGCAATGCAATTTAGAGAAGAAGATGCATGGGTGGGGGTGGGATGAGGGAAAGGTAGCCCGGTGAGATGGGGGGGAGCGGGGACTAAGATTTTTTTTCCCCCGCATTCAGCCTGCGGGATTAGTGTACGGATACTCATAGACAGTTCACAGTCACAGCAACTCATTTCCCTATTAGAAAATTTCTCCTTTGTTCCTGTACTGGTGGCAACTCTGCCTGTCTAGGTGACAGTGTTCAGCAGGTCAGATAGAGAGGATGCAAATAATGAAAACCTGACAGGTGGGCCAAACTAAAACTTACTTTCCCTGCACACTGTGAGCTTCTCACAATCTGCATTAGACGTTGCTGCAAATCAATAGAGCCTTCCTCGTTTTCTGGCTGGAGGATGTCCAGCATCATTTAGCACTTTCCTCCCTAGCCTGACTGTCACTGGCCCCGCCCCTTTCATTGACTTGCAATGTGATCAATCATGTAGGCTCAGCATCACATGTGGACATTACGTAGGGCGGTCGGCATGCAAATGCAGCCTGCCTAGAAATGGCCACTCCTCCAGACTGACAGTCACCCTGAAGGCATTTTGATATTTGCATAACTCCTCCCAACAGCCAGCCCCACTGCTTGCATCACGGATGAGGGCTTTTGAGAGGAGTACTGAGGCAAGGTACTGCAATGTTTTCAGGAAGCTATGTACAGCACCCTGCCGGCCCCTCCCACCAGCCATGATCTGCCTGCATTGCATAAAGAAGCATAGAGACCCCATGATGACATCAATGGGACTAAACTAAGGTATGTAATGAAAACAGAAAGGTTTTATTTAAAAGTGTCATTGGGGTGTTGAAGGGGGAGGTAGGGGACCAAAGAAGAACAAATCTAAGCAGATTTGCGGACGGGGGAGGGGGCGGGTACGGCTGGTTCTGCCTCTAGATAGGCCGAGCCAGCTGTCACTCACGCAGCTGGGCGGATCCTGGCATCGATGTCGGGATCCGCTCCAGCGTCTCAGTATACCGTGAGCTGTAGGTCGCGGTATACTGAGCTTAGGGTAACGGGAGGACGCTAGTTTGTGTCCTCCCGTTACCCTAAGGAGAACTATGGGGAAAAGCCCTGACTCCATAGTTCTCCTTTAATCTTTAAGTATGGCATACCTAGAAGGAATTCTCTAAATACTGCTGCCTATGCCACTGAACTGCGCTCTGATCAGGGCTGAATTTACCATTAGGCAGAGTAGGCACGTGCCTACAAGCACCCTCCATAGAGGGGCGCTGTGCAGGTACCTACTCTGCCTAATTCCTGGTGTTGTGTCAAGATACAACACCGGCAATGGCAAGGAAGGCGCATTCTGCACAAAACGCACCCTCCTGCTTCCACCTACAGGAACTGCCGAGTTCTGTAAAACGCAGGGGAAGGACTGGTGTTTAGGGCAGCCCTGCACAACACCCGGGGTCCTCCTCTGCATATGTGAAAGCTGCCGGGTCCCGCAGCAGGTAAGGGCGCAAGCTCAAGCTAAACAGATTTCCATTCGTGCTCACAGGTGCCCTGGCTCTGATGCTGAGAAATCTCCAACCTCACATTGTTTACTATAGCAATGCCATATGCTAATCATAGAGGGAAGCAAGAAAATGTGGGAGAAACTAAATTTATTTCGGGGTGCATGCCAGGGGCGCCCCTGGCATTTCATCTTTTTATCGATTGTCTGTCAAGGAGGATAAGTTAAAGCTGCACAAAGATACAAGTGGGAAGTCCCTCGCATTCCAAAATTATGCCCATTCAATCTCTGTATTGACTGTGGTAGTGTAACATCTCAAAGCGACGTTTCAGAACCATGTGGTCCCTTCTTCAGGCAAACAGGCTTCCGTTTGCTGTCCCAGGGACCGCACGGTTCTGAAACGTCGCTTTGAGATGTTACACTACCACAGTCAATAAAGACAAAAGCAACAAAGCGCCACCTCCTTGTGTGAAATCTTTTTTATTTGAATAATAAAAACGGTAAATAAAATACAGGCAGTCTCCGAGTTACAAACATCCGACTCCTACTTACAAACGGAGGCTACTACTGTAGAGCAGGGGTAGTTGTAATGCTACTGCGCTCGTACCGAGGTGGGGTGCCCGCCTTTTTGGGTCTGGTTCGTAGTACTGTACGTACATTACAGGAAATTGGCTCTTGTTAGACGTGCAGACAAGGTTTTTACTGCTGTCTGTATCGTCATTAGAAAGATTTAATCTCACTTCCTGTCCTTGAGACAACAGGAAGTGAGAGGAAATCTACCCCTAGGAAGGGAAATTCACTCCTGTAAGAGTTATCATGGGAAAAAGGTGTCTCCACTGAAGCTAAACCCCAAAATTTTACAAATCCAATTGTCACAGGAACAGAAAGTGAGGTAAAATCTTCTGAACAGGGACACACACAGCAGAAAAAACTTTTCAGAGGGTTAACCCTTCTCTATGCTATCTAAAACAAAAAAATAAACATTTCTTTTGGCTGAAGTTACACTTTAAAAAGGTTCCTGTTCCAACTTACATACAAATTCAAACATACAGTCCCTATCTTGTTTGTAACCCGGGGACTGCCTGTACTCACAATTGTAAAATATAAGTCACGCTCGTCAATCAGAGACCACAAGAGCGATGTCTAAGGAATGTTCCGCTCCGAGTGACTGTTTCAACACACATCATGCCAGAATGGTCCACTGTTGTCACCATCAGAAAATCACAGGAGAAATTCCCTTGCAGCCATCACTGGCATGCATGTAGGCAGGAATTGTCTTGCAGGAGATCAGCCGCACTGACACGTATCAAAGGAGGAAAAAGAACCAAGAAGATGAAGGTATTTCAGAGCACACACACACACAAACTGAATGCCAGGGGTTATATCTACTATAAGGTCATGGTGGCACTTTGATCTCCATTAGGCCTCTGCAATGAATTACATTGCTGCGTGAGTTTACATTGCCAGTCTTTCATCTGTGTCTTAAAATAAATTGGGTAATAATAAATGTTTTATCATTTAATATAGGGGAAACTGTTTTTTTTTTTTAAATTTTGGTAATTTTTCCTTAATATAGTAAAAAAATAAAACCCCCAGTGGTGAATAAATACCACCAAAAGAAAGCTCTATCTGTCCCCAAAAAAGGGTATAAAATTCATTTCAGTACAGCGCTGCATGACAGAATAAATGTCAGTTAAAGTACCGCAGCGCTGAATACTGAAAAATGGCCTGGATGGGAAGGGGGTGTAACACCGCGGATGTCAACTGGTTAAACTGTGGAGGGTTCTGAAAAACCTCTGGCACAGGAACCTCCTTAGTTCGGGGCTTCACTTGCCCAAGGACTCCATCCCTTCACCCCCGGAGAATCCCCAAGGACTTCTCAAATGTAAGTTTCTTCATTAACCCTATACCAACAGTAGTAGCGCTCTTAATACATAGGTTGTTTTTTGTTCTTGTTACCACAGGGTACCTCTCCCTGTTTGCAAAGAGCTTGCACACTGCACCCTAGCCCAAGTGACCCCTTCCAGCCACTGTGGACTGCCAGATAGTGCGCTTTCTCCTTTTTTCTCTTTTTGCTTTTTGTTCTAACTGATATATGGACATTACAAAACCTGTAGTTCTTCACATCATCAGAACCCAAGATGTTCCTCAGATTCATTGTTATACCTGACCAAAACCCTTTTGGTATTGGCAAATAGAGAGTCCCACCGCTATCCTGACCGAGGGCCAGTTTTGTTTGCCTAATGAAGGCACGGGACAGGTTCTGAAACATTGCCACGCATGGTGATATGACCTGCTGAAATGAATAAAAGGATTTAGTTTTGAAGAAAACTTGGAGTGCTGGTGACCATTTATTCTCTTTTGGTATTGGGGTACAGGCACACAGTCAGTGTTGTATGTGTATGTGGAGGTCCTACACAGTCTTTGAGGCACAAAGATGTTCCATCATCAAATAGTTTTTTAAAGTGCTTCAGACTTGATTCAGGTTGGGTGGTTGCTTGAAAGACACGGAAAAAGGATCTGGATAGAGGATGGAGGGCGGATGGTCTAAAAACAACATAAAGTCCGATAGAATGAGTGAAGGACTGACAAAAAAGGTGTAGGCCAGGGAGCACATTTTCCAAATAAGAACTGGAACTGTGAGTAGGGAGATTGCCTGAAAGACATGGATAGAGGGTCTGGGGTGAGGGTGAAGGGCGGGTGGTCTAAAAACAGAACATAAAGTCTGATGGAATGAGTGAAGGACTGACAAAGCTATAGGCCTCCCTCTAGAAACTGGAACTATGAGGGTGAGAAGACCATCCACATTGCTGCACATACTATCATCAATTGAGAAGTGCACCTTACAGAGTAGCTGCAAAGATGTTTAATTCATGTTACTGGCCCATATAAACCATGAGGATAAATCGGCTGAACCATGTCTGTCTTCTTTTCCATGATCTTTTATTGCCAGGAACTTGGAGCTGGTGAAGTGTAGTCTCATGAGTATCCTGCAAGAAGATAAAACAGCTGAACCATCATGGCTGATACCTCTATATATCCCATAACGCCCTGTAGTCAGCTGACCTATCAGAACCATTCCACTTTATAATCATTATTTTTTGATACCAGAACAAAAATGTTTTTTAAATCTTTGCATTGCAGCTTTCAGTTCATTATTCCTCAGACTGTATATAAGAGGGTTTATCAGAGGAGTGATTGTGGTATAACATACTGACACCAACCTGTCAGCTGTGAAGTGATACCCCGTGGTGGGCCTAAAATAATTAAAAACAATGGTTCCATAGAAGATGAAGACCACAGTCAGGTGAGAGGAACAGGTGGAGAAAGCCTTGAACCTCTTGTCCTTCTCTTTAATCTTCATCACCGTTGAGAATACCGTGATGTACGGGATGAAGGTCATAAGTATAAAAACCAGTCCAAAAAGTCCACCGAGGAGAAAGATGGTCAAGAGGTTGATGAACACATCCGTGCAAGATATCTGGAAGAGCTTGGACAGGTCGCAGAAGAAACTTTGGACAATGTTTGAGTCACAAAATGTCAGCCTCAGCGTAACGAGTATGTGTGCCAGAGAGTACACCATACTGAGAGCCCAAACACCGACAGCAAACTGGACACAAGTCTTCCATTGCATGATCTGAACGTAGTGTAGAGGTCGACAGATGGCGACGTATCGATCGTAAGACATGACGGCCAATAAGAGGATTTCAGTGGTGGCCAGAAAGATGAAGAAAAAAACTTGGGTCAGGCAGGCCGGGACAGAAATCTTTCGGTTATTGGTAATGAGGTCGAAGAGCATTCTGGGAGTGGTGAGGGAAGAAGAACACAAGTCTAGAAAAGCCAGATTTCCAAGGAAGAAGTACATGGGGGTGTGGAGGTGCGAGTCAATGACGACAAGGAGGATAATAAGGACGTTTCCAAGCAGAGTCATACAATAAATGTGGAGAAAGAGCAGGAAGAGGGGGAGCTGAAGATATGGAAGATCCGAAATCCCAGATAGAAACAATTCAGACAATATGGTTCGGTTTTCCATCAGAGTTTATGAGCTTCTTATGGATAGCTGCAACATTTTAAAGAACTGGGTTAAAAGTCATGACCACATTTTGCTTTGTAAGGTAGACTGGAAAATTAATTATAAATTGTGAATTAGATCCACCAACATTACTTTCTCTAAGACTATGAGGCACAGTATGATTCAGTGGGAACCAAATAGTACTACATTGAGGTTCCTAGTTCTAAACCAAATTCAGCCAGGATGCTATCCACATGGTGTTTGCATGTAAGTACATCTAAAGTCAAAACCTTTTTTCTAGGGATGCTCAGATACCAGTGCCGATACTTGGCATTTTCATGAGAACTCCCAGGGTTGCAGCGGTTGCAGTCAGGACCTGGCTCTGGTGCTCCACCGCTGTCCTGAAATCATTAGTCTGTATTGTTTTAGAAAAACTGTCACATGACAATAAACAAAAATGTATCAGCACTTGTACTCGCAAACTGGTATCGGTGCATCCCTTATATATATTTCTATACAACAATCCCGGGAGCTCCGTGTGCTCCTTAAAAATGACAGCCGCCTCCTAACTTTTGAATGTTTCTATAGTCTTCTAGTCTTGGAGCTGGAAAAGTATCAGTACTTGTACTAGGTATCCGAACATCCCTACTTGTTTCATTTTGCATAAAAATATGCCCTTGTCTTCTAAACCTAACAGGAAGTGGGGAAACGTCCTCTTGGACAGTTGTCAGGAGAACAAGTGTCCCCATTGGAAGCTCTTCCCTCCATTCTTGTTCTGGTGGCAACTCAAAATTTTGGGATTAGCCTCACATTCAGATTGTGCTTTACATTTTACTCTTTTTCAAGTCTGTTAATGATTGAAAACAGTAGGTCAGCCTTTCTCAACTCGGGTTCCCCCACAGGTTGTGAGGGACTGGATTGGGGGTGGATTGACCTCTTACCTGATTGCTCCTGTATAGTTGGAGGCAGAGATAGCAGTGTGGGTCCAATGGAATATTTCCTCTTATCTCTTAGGTAAGTGTCCACTGATACTAATTGTTATTTGTGGTTTGTAAAGGGGGTATTTATCTTGACTTCCAGTGTAACAAGACATTCTTATCACTGATTATCAAAGTAACAAGGCATTTTCCCACTGATTAGTAAATTAAAAGAAAATTCTTGCCACTGCCAACCAACATTAGGGACATTGTTCCTTACACTACCCGCCAAAGGAAACATCCCTCCAATGACCAACAATGTAATGGGGCCTTTCTCCATTGACTGCCAATGTAAAGGGGCCCTTCTGCACAGGTCATCAATGTAAGATGACCCTTCTCCTCTGACCACCAGTGTAAGGGGGCCCTTCTCCACTGACCACCAATGTAAGGGGAGTCTTCTCCTCTGACTGGCAATGAAAGGGGTCTCTTTTCCACTGACAACCAATTTAGGGGGCCTTCTCTTTTGACTGGCAAAGCAGGGGGGGCTCTTCTCCACTCTGTAAGCCGTATATTTTTTTAAATTGATTTTGAATGTATTCCAAGGGTTCAATAATCTACAAATCTATATATGAAATATTAAAGCACAAATATTGAAAAGCAAACATGTAAGGAGATACAAAAATAACAAAAGCAGAATATATGCTAAAATGTTACTATAGTATTCCTTTAAGCAACATTATCTGTCACTATTCTTTTATTGTGGAGTGAAGTTTTGATTCATAATTTGTAACTAGTTGCATAACAAGTTATATTTTCCATTAGTTCATGTTTGTCACTTTTGGCCACGTTAGTTTTTCAGAAGTAACAATACCAAACCTACAAGACTGAAACCAAAACCTGACCATCTCTCTCCACAATGTTACTTATCCTAAACATACAATACTTACCCAAGCAAAAATCCACCAATTGTTCCAACCTCACCAAGCAGTTCTTTACCGATCAACGTATTTCAAATACAATAAACTCATTTATAATTGGAAAATATAATTTGAACCCAACATGAAAAAAATAACTACTGCTTAAAAAATATAACAATATCACCAAATATACGTTTACTTTGATTTCAATATGTTGTGCTTGTATTAAAGGAGAACTATGGGGGAGGACACAAACTAGCGTCCTCCCATTACCCTAAGCTCAGTATACCGCTTGCTACAGCTCGCGGTATACTGAGACGCCGCAGCCGGAAGCGGATCCCGATTGCTGCGTGAGTGACAGCTGCCTATCTAGAGGCAGAGCCAGCTGTACCCGCCCCGTCCGTTCCGCCAGTCAGCGCTGGCGGATCGGAGCGGGGAGGGGGGGATCCAGTCCCTCCCCCGTCACGGCAGAGAGCCGTGACAGGATCGAGAGGTGAGCGAACGCCGGTATGTGTTCGTTCACCTCCCGATCTACTGAGCCGACCTGTGACAGTCTCATTGTCACAGGTCGGCTAGAACTATGAGGATGAGTGAAAAGCACTCATCTCATAGTTCTCCTTTAAGTAATGTCAGAGTGGATCCTACAAATCTCAATTAATAAGGTTTTTTTTTTAGATGAATTCAGTGTTTATTTAATAAAAGATAAAAAATAACATTCAGCAGAGACAATAGTGAAATATAAAAAAAATGGAAACAACTGGGAAGGTTTCAATTTAGGTCAACACGCGTAGGAATTCTTAACAATCAATTCTTCTGTAATGCTTACCAGTAAAGGATTGTTACATTTTATATTGGTTATATAATTTCAAATTAGGAAAACAATTAATAGTTTAAAATCGTGGCATAGAATATAATATTTGTCAGCTGGCAAAGTAATTTCTCAGACTTGCGATAGTAACAGTGTGATCCCTGCCTGTATTTTAGCTGCAGCGGAGAGAACTGGAAGCTTATAAACCTTCAAATTATCTCCGGAGGGGATTCTATCTGACAGATAATTCTGGAGCTTCCCCGGGGGAAATAACACAAAGAGAGAAACCAACAGGGAATGATTAGATCTGAATCATGAGACTTGTTCAATTTACGTGAAAAAGATACGTATTTTATACTTTTATTTACACTCTAATATTCTACTTACTGTATACAGATATTCATACACGCCGGAACTAGTTTTGGATGGAAACCTTTTAAAGGAGATGTAAAACCATTACAATCTCACAAAAGATTTCATAAAATTATGTTCAATGCAAAAGATTTTAATCTTTTTAAATCTGCAGCTGTCATTACCATAATACCTGGTGGTCCTGCCATGAAGGTCCTTGTTTAGAAACTTCCCGCTATGGAGTGACACCGCAGTGAATTTAACATGTGCAGACAGTAGACATATAAATTTCGTTTAGTTACGAACAGATATTGGTATGAATTTAGTTAAATTTGGACATTCAGATGCATCTGAATGTGAACGAATCTGAATACAGGCAGTCCCCGGGTTACATTCAAGATAGGGACTGGAGGTCCCCGGGTACATACAAGATAGGGACTGTAGGTTTGTACTTAAGTTGAATTTGTATGTAAGTCGGAACAGGTACAATTTTTTAAGTGTAACTCCAGCCAAAAAAACATTTTTTAGTTTTAGATAGCATGGGGAAGGGTTACGCTTGTTTTGCTGTCTGTTCCCGTTGTTTTCAGAAGATTATAATATAATAAAAACTTTTTTTATTTAAAATGACACACCAAAAAAAGTTTTTTTCTATTTCTAACTTTTCTTTTTTTCTATTTCTAACTTTTCTAATTTTCTATTTCTAACTTTACTTTTTTTATTTGTTTGCATGTTTAATTTTTATTTATTTAACTTTTTAAAATGTTTTTGTCTTTTTCATTTTATTGTTTTATTTTTTAAACCTTTTTTATTTTTTATTCTAATGCTGGAAGCAATAGCAATCCTGCTATTGGATATTTCAAATTGCAATAGCCAATACCAGGCTGGCTATTGCATGTGCCCACTGCCTGCTGTCAATGGGCCTGAAGGAGAAAGTTCTCTATCAGGTCCTCCCATGGTGAATGACAGCAGACAGTGGGCAGATGCAATAGCCAGCCTGCTATTGGCTATTGCAATTTGAAATATCCAATAGCAGGCTGGGTATGGCTCCCAGCCTGCAGATGAAGAGGAGGCAGGGGGGCGGGGCAGAGGAGCTGACGGACCGGAGGAAGAGGAGGAACCGGCCGGTACAGCAGCGGAGGTACGGGGGGCAGCGGAGGAATGCAGCGATCTGTGTCCCCGCTGCCTCCGCCAACACAGGCAGGGAGAGCAGTGGGGATTTGAAGGGACACAGGGCGCAGCAGCCACAGGATGTACCGGCAGCTGCCGGTACATTTAGGAGAACTGTGGACCTCGGTTTGTAAGTACGGGTTGTCCTTAAGTCGGACGTCCGTAACCCGGCAGGCACACAGGCAGTATACCTTAAAGAAAATTTGGGTCCATCCGAATTTCGTTCAAAACAAAAAATTAAATCAGACATATGACTGTTCTCTGGCCAATTAGAATTTTTGGGGGGCTGTAGGGGGTTGCATTACAGGCACGGTCATGTGAATTCCTGTTGTGGAGTAAGAGAGTTGAGAAGAGCAGTAGAAGAGCTCATGGTGTCAGAACTAAAATTACCAAAATAACCCCCCAAAAATAATTAAGTTTACGATTAAAGAATCACTTCCAAATAGATCCAAAATGAAAATCCGGACGGATCCGAAATCTAAATAATGTACCGAATCGAATTTTGGATCTGAAATCCGAATAAAAGAACAAATACAAGTCCAAATCAACACATTTTTGGTCGGGTTACATGTCTAGCAGACAGTATTAGACATGTGCGATTCGTTTCGTTACGAATCGAAATTCGTACGAATTTTCCTGAAATTCGTAAATTCGGAAGCATACGAAATCCGAATGGCAGTTTCCGAACTATATCCGAAATACGAAATTTCGTCAACGAATTTCGGATCCGAATTTCTTTGAAACAGGAACTAATATTACCCCTGTAAATGAGGTTGAACAACATGACAAGATTTTTTTTTTTAATCCGAAATACGGATCCGCTGCTGCTGAGAGTTGCATTACAATACACAGGCAGGAAAT